GCAATGACATTCATCATTGGAAATTTGCAACGTTACATAATCTCTCTTGGTTCTTATTTTTCCCCCTTCCCCTGCCCTCCCTTCAACCCCTCCATCCCTCCCTATTTACAAAGACTTTGTTTCCATTCTTTCCATTTTCTCATATTAATTCCATTCCCTTCTTTCCTTTCCCCTACCCCTCCCACTTCCCCTTCCTCTTTTCCCCTTTTCTTCCTATTTCACATTATCTATTATACCTTTTAGTCCTTATTTACACTTTCGGTTTCTCACATCAGAGAAACGATTCAGTATTTACAAATGTGTGTCCTGTTTCCTAAATATTTTCTTAAGGGCTGTGGAAGGCTACAAGGACATAGTTGTAGAAAAAGAGACCAAGTAGAGGTATTTGATTGAGCCACCAAATGAAAAACAGCCTATCCAGAGCTCTATGAATTGAAACAGTGTATGAAATAATTTAGGTTTTAAGAACTAGGAGAGGCATTTCTTTTAGGTTAGAATTTTATGTCAACAACTAGCAAACAGGTAAACTTGATAGGGCCAGATATTGTACCAATGGTCAGAGGACACCCAGGTGAAAACCTCACTAGTGAGTGTGTCTAATACCAAGCAGGGGCAGAGATCAGGAGAGTTGGGAGGCCACCCACACCTTCTTACTGGCTACTGTATATAAGGAGGTGAGCTATGCCTTGGAACCTGCCCTTCTTGAGTTGAACCCTTTCTGAATTGCCTTCATGGGAGCTGCAGGACTGTGTGCTTGAGCACCAGAGGAGCCTCACACCCCGTGCAGCCTTGGGGGTGGGGATGCCAGGCTGGGAACATGCAGAGAGCATTGCCTCACACACTGGGCTGCAGAGGATGCATGCAGAGGCTCAGGAAGGACAGGCGTCATCGCAGCACTCACAGGAGTCCAGCCACCTGGGCCTGGAGACTGCGCCAACTGAGATCTGGCAGGCATATTTGACCCTGCAGACTCTGTGTCTGCCTGGCCCACCAGGGACTCATCTGAGACACAGACGGCCCCACAGGCCCTGTCTGCAGTGGCCAGGCCTCAGGACTCTGGGAGTCTTGGCCCCCAGCTGCCACTCACTTGGCCTGCCCCACCCTTGCTGCTCAACCTCCATGTGATTGGCCACACCAGCTGCTGGATGGGGCCTGCTGGCTTTGATTCCCTCAGATCCCAGCCTGTGGGAAGCTATGGCCCCACATTGTAAGACCTCCAGGCCCACAAATATGGAAAAGAAATAACCACTGGAGAAGGTGAGTGAATAAATGAAGTGTACTTCCTAACATGATTGAAGGTGTGTTATAAGTTTGAAATTATTGAGAAATAAAGTATGTTTTGCAATATCCATAAGAATATTATGCCAGAAAAAGAAACATCCAATGTCACTCTATTGGCTAAGTGATTAGTGAGCTTTCTCATTGTGGAAACATCCACAAGTAAAGAGGAGGAAGCTTTGGCTTATGTCTGTGGGGGATTCAGTCCATGGTTGGCTGGCCCCAAGACAACAACATCATGGAGGAACTATGTGGCAGAGGAAAGCTTCTTAGTTCATGGTGGCCTAGAAGCAGAGCAGGGAAAGAGAGATAAAGGGATAACTGACCAGACAGAGACACCAAGGTCATACCTCCATGTTCCATGCAGACACACTCAGTAGTGTACACCAACAATCCCTGGGTAGATCTCAAAGCCAATCAAGGTGATACTCCATATTAATTCATTTATATGACATTGATTATACCATGTTGTTTGTTATTATATATGTAGCTCAGTAGTTGGTAGTGTTGTTAGTCTCTACCTGTGCAAAATTTATCAATTAAATTTTATCATGGTTTTTTAGGTATAGGAAAAAGCAATATATATGTGGTTTACATGGTTATTAACATCCAGTATTGGGTTTGAGGTATACATTAGAGACATTGAATCATAGCCTTTTCCAATAAGGATATATTACTGAGTTTGTTTTTCATGGAAACAGAAGGGACAGAAGTGATGTTGTCTGAGCAGACTCATGGATGAACAACTTGCCTCTAGACAAGTAGAATAATTTAACAACATTATATTCTGCAGACCATGTGGAATGGGCTGCAAAGAGTTGAGCTACAATGGCAGAGTTCAAAAAACTTGGGAAGAACTACCCACCCTGGTTCGTGTTGTAGAAGTGAAGAAGGAGCCTGGACTTCTTTCCCACCTGTGTCTTGTTATCCAACTATCTCAGGAGCCTGATGCAGCTGTTAGGTCAATGGCTTTCAATATGTGGGTATTTTGGAGATTTTTTTTTCTCAAGACAGAGGGGGAGTGGATTTTTCTGTCATCTTGAGATGTTCAGCCCCAGATGATGCTAAATATTATACAATGAACAAGAAATCTTTCATTACACATAAATCATTTTAGGGTATATTGACATGACTGATTAGGGTATATTGACATGACTGATTAGGGTTTTGGGTTTGATCATGAACTCAATCTCAAGCCCTTTTCCCCTCTGTACAGGCCCAGTTGATGAGTCTTATCCTTTCATCCCACTTGTGAGTTACAAATAAAATTTATTTTTACAAGTTCTATCTTTTAAGCTTTATTTGGTCTTTCTGGATTTCAGATTATTCTCCATCAAGAAACTGATAACAGTTCCAAAGCCACTAATGATCTTACTATGATACAAAGCACAGAAGTTTCACCTATGAGTGTTTTCATAGCTCCTGTGGTGTGACAGGCTGTGAAGAATAGCCACAATAAATTTGTCCCTAGAGTTCATCCAGAATATCACCATATTCAATATAACAGAATTTGAGGAGGAGGTACTGGGGATTGAACTCAGGACCTTGCACTTGCGAGGCAGGTATGGTGCCACCGTGCTAAATCCCAGGCCCAGTATAACACAATTTCAAACAAACAATTGAAATAGAAGAATGTGGTTGAGTCTCCAGAAGATTAAAGGTTGAGGTAGCTACACTATTTGAAAGGGAGAGGTACTTATAAATGATTAAGATTTGACTAGAGAAATAGTTAAATGGGTCCATAGTGCTGTGAGAGGAACAAGAGTTTGTTCTAAAAAGGTACAGAATATGTAAATCCCTAGGCATAGAGCATTTCATGACAATATCCTACTGGAATGGTGAGGGAACCAATCATACAGAGAAAAAAAGGGACAATTCACAGTAAATCAGCTGTTTTCCATTCGTCATATGGATATGTTCATAGCATCTATTTTTCAATAAGTAATACTTCTTGCATGTTTTGATTCCACATACAGTATCCTAGAATTGTCTTTTTCTTCTTCATTAATAAGCACGGAAAGAAAAAAGGATGATCCTAATTTAAATACATAGACTTGATTTGAGTGTATTAATCTCATAACTCATCAATATTGATATAAAGCAGATGAATAAACTGTAAAGGGGAGCACTGCCTTAAGTCCAGTGACTTGAAGCTGTGATGTACAATGAACCTAAAGAGGAAGGGTCATGATCATTCCCTTAGGCCCTCCTGAGCTGCAGATCTCTTTGACATGTTGTCTCCAGATGCTCAGAACAGCTCTGGAAGGAGTGGTGAAAGGCATAAGCTGCAGAGCAGTAGAAAGCAGGTGACATATGTGTCAATTGTATTTGGAGTTTTGTCCTTTCAGAAGTTCTTATTGCTGACCATGGTGCTCACCCTGGGAAGTGGTTCTGATATGCAAAGTGTTGCTGGAGTCACACTGAAACATGTTCATATGAAGAAAATCTATGAAAAGCATTCATAGAGATAACATTTATATAGTCTTCTAAAGAACTTGTTGATATATTTGGCAGTTTATTTTGATCAGACACTGTTAATTTTACTATTTTTTTGTTGTAGGTAAAAAAAAATACCTGAAATACAGGTCTTAAAAATAAAAGGATTATTTTAGTTCATGGTTTCAGAGATTGAAGTCAGTTGTTATTAGACTCGAATGGAGAAATAGTGGAAATACTGCATAGTGGAAAGAAATGAAGAAAGACTTCTACATGAGAATCAGGAAGCACAGAGCAAAACAGGTATCAGAGAGGAAGGTGGAGGGAGAAGATAAGGTCCCTAATGTCACAACTCCAGGACTCAACCAGGCACACCAGCGGTGTGTTTTACTGCTATCTTTCGCACCTCTCATGCCAAACAAGATATTGATCAAGAGTGTCACAGAACTCTGGGAAATATTTTCCTTCTAACAATATTACTGTGTTGAAAGACAGAGTTGCAACTTTTGAAGAGGGAATTACAGGGCACAAGGAGCTTACAGTCTGAAGTCCTTAGGTTTCCCTGCCTCAACACCAGAAAGTGTGTTTATTCAGCAATCATATACGTCTCTTTGGCATGTATTTTCTTAAATTAGAATGAGTAAGTCAAGAGATACAGCATGGGAAACCCTTGCCCATGAAGCCAAGAACCTTATTCCTAATTTCCTTCTTCTCACGACAGCAGGCCTCCCTCTTTTCCGTTATGTCCTGGCTTTGCCTGGACTTGTGAAGCTCTCGCACAGTGATTTCTCTGTGGTGAGCTAAGTCTGGAACTGGCTTAGCAGACTGGTGGCCCATTTGGAAGAGCAACATACAGGAAGAGCCCACCAAGTCCAGTAAGAAGACTGGAGTAGCCAGGCACGGCGGTGCATCCCTGTAGGCCCAGCACTGGAGAAGCTGACGCAGGAGGATCACAGAGAGCTCAGGACCAGTCAGAGATACATGGTGAGTTCAAGAGCAGACTAAATTACATAGCAACACCCTGTCTTAAAAACAAAAAGAGGCAAAAAGAAGCAGCTCTGCGAAGCCAGAGCAAACTTTTCTTAAATGCAGGCTAGGACAGATCAGCATCCTGGGAGACAAACTGGTCAAGAAGTGTCTGGGTTATAATCTCTCATTTGACTTGTGCTCACACCGGTGAAGATTCGCTTCTGTTGTCGCCCTCCGCTCAGGAGGCGGGCAGTGGAGCAGGAGCCAATCAGTGTTGAGGGGCGGGCCGTATGAACTGTCCAATCAGGTGGCCCGGACAAGAGGGTTTTGTTTCTTGGTTCCAAGCCACAGATCCTGAGCTCAGTGCTGAGAGCCGCCCCACCCTGGTAGACTGCCCTACTTTACAATTTCTACTGGCTGCAGGCTGCGTGGGAAGGACACACGAGACCCTCCAGCCACGCAATGGTGACGTTGTGGGACGGGTGCCCTGACGGGTGACCAGGGTGAGGTCTGGGCGGAAGCGTGGGAACAGCAATGGCGGCCGGGGCCTCCCGCTACTCCAGAGTCAGAGTTCCTCCTGGTCTGGGCGCCTTGTACACTGTCCCTCTCGCCTTGCCTCAGGCAGGTCTGCTGTGTGTGCAGCTCCCCAGCACTCCACTGCCACCCCGCCGGCCCAGAGTGCAGTCTCGCCAGCCACAGCCCAAAGCTGCATCTCTGGCTGTGCTCTGAGCTTAGGGATTGTGGGCAGACCCTGATTCCGATGGGGAGTCGATCTGGCGGCTGTGGTGTGCTGGATCCCAGGTCTCATTCTTCTCTCCAGCAGATCTGGAGGACCTCAGTTTTATAAATGTGTGGGATACAGGGTCTCAGAGCCACACTTAAGCCCCTCAGGCCAAGGCTGCTCTGTGATGAGGGTAAATTGCCAGAATTCCAACATGTGCCCCTAAGTCAAACTCAGGATAAGTGTTGATAATGCCCTGAGAATTGAAAGAAAAGATCTGGGTAATCGCAGCACTGGGGAGGCTGATGCAGGAACTTTGTCGTGAGTTGGAGACCAGCGACATCTAGGCCAACTATATAGTGAGACATAGTCAAACAACAAGACAAAAGAAATCAAACAGAAGAAGGGGGAGGGGGAGGAGGAAGAAGAGGAAGAAGAGAAAGAAGAAAAACAATGAATGAGAAATATTCAATATTGTTGGGGATGTGAGTTGGTGGTAGAGTGCTTGCCAGCCATGCAGTGAGCTCCTGTGTTACATACATAGCAATGCAGAAACAATTTTCATCTTAATAATTGATGTGGCACCTCTACTAACGGACCACTTAAGTGAGGCCTTCCCATGGAGCTTAGAATGCTGAGAGAAGTGGAGAGGATGTTAATGTGTCAGCAAGGTCAGGAGAAAGTGTTCCTGCTAAGGACCACTTCCAGAAGGAGATGCCTGTTACACAGTGTGGGAATCATTAAACTTGGGCATCTATGCAGATACGTGATTTGGTAGGAGTGGAAAAAGAGAGGGGTAGCACCTCAAATAATTGCTGTAGGCCTTGGACCATAGATGCTGTTTTAAGAATTGAAATGCTGATTGAGGTGGACTTTATGTTAAAGGAATATTGTAGTAGGAGTAAAGTCTGAAGTTTGAGGTTGGCAGCCATATGAGTGGTCAGTGATAAAGGACTTTTCTGTGCAGGGAGGAGCAAATGAAAAGAGAAAGAAAGTAGGAGAGGAGGAGGGGATGGTGATGGTGGTAAAATCCATGCCTACAGCAGACAGGGTCTTCCCCTGAGGTCAGATTTTTTTCTAGTGTGACAGTAAGGGAGTTGTGTGCTGGCTCAATCTGAGAGTGGGTCAAACATCACAGGCACTAAGAAAGGAGAAGACTTGGTAAAATTTAGATAAATTTGTCTTCTGGTACTACTAATCAGGTAAACTAATCTATTTTCTTTGTTTTTCAAGGGTTCTACCAAGTAATTCATCCTGGCCTTGAACTTACTATGTAGCCCAGGTTTGCCTGCAACTTGTGGCCATTCTCTTAAGTGAGCCTCCTGAGTACTGAGGCTACAGGTGTGTACCAGCACACTTGTCTGAAAATTTTTTTTGGTACCCAGGATTAAACTCAGGTCCTTATGCTTACAAGGCAGGTGCAGTGCTGCTGAGATAAATCCCCAGCCCTGTCCACAATTGTTTTTGAGGAAAAAGTGGAAATTAGAAAATTGTTTGGCTTCCTCTGGCTAAAAGATTGGTGGCTATCATCAGCTAAATGTAATGGAAAGGAATTTCTCCAGGATACAACAGATTTTAGGTGTGGTTGATGTTTTTATTGTACAGAAAATTTAACCTGGGACTTTTCTCTGAACCTTTTGAACACTTTTAAATATTTTTAAAATTTTGTGATGCTCTCATTACAGAGCAGCATTGGTCTGAAGAGCTCACTATGTTGCCAGGGTTGCAGCAAAATTTTGATCTTGTTTTAGCCTCCTGGAGTGCTCAGATGCCAGGAATGTGCCGCCATGCCTGACTAAGCTAGGAGCTTCTTCATCACCACTGTTAACCAGGATCACTGTGCTTGGTGAAATGAAACTTCAGTGAGGCATGGTGCTGCCCACCTTTCATCTGAGCCACTTGGGACACTGAGGTGGGATTCTTGCAATAGCAAGGCCAGGCTGGACAATGGAGCAAGACCCAGATCAACATACAGCAAAATCACTGGGGCTGTGTTTCCAATTAAAGGAACTTGTGTAACATGTGCAAGGCCCTGAATTCAGTCCAGTACTAAGGCATAAAAGAAAAAGTGATAATACTCAGTAGAAAATTTACTTTGATTTGGAATTTCATACTGTTTCCACACTAGTGGTCTGTGGTACAATACTTGCTTCAGATGCTGGGCAGCAGCAGTTAGTCCTGGCTTTAGCAGTGACAGGACACCAAGTGAAAACATCCAGTGATTTACAGTGCAGCACATTCAATAAACTACATGGGGTATTTAATATTTTATCATGAAATAAGCTATGTGTTACATACATTTTCTCAAATACAGGTTAATATAAGTGTTTATCAGTTTTAGAGGAGGCAAGGCTTAGCAAAGTTTGCTAGATTATGTATGTTCAGTGCATTTTCAATACATTATAATTTGAACTGCCTGTGGGTTGATCAAGATATTTTCCCTTGATAACTCAAGCAGAATGTGTCCTTCAACTCTTTGTAAAGTGCTTCTCTGTAGAATGTGAAATTTATCAGGTAGTACCCTGTGTTGAGTGCTGTATTAATCAGGTTCTTCCAAGGAACTCAATTGGGATACATTATGAGTAGTGTTTTGATTTTTTTTTTTTTTTTTAAAAAAGCAGTGCTGTGGCTTTTGTGTTCTGATTTTGGTTTGGTTTTATTTGGTTGTTTATTTACTTGCTGTGGTACTGTAGAGAGATGCATCAGTCTGGTCATACTGTCTGGCTTGTTCCACGAGGACAAGAGAATAGGATAGAAATTACCAATGGTCAGACACGGGGCAGAGCAGTTTGACCACAACACACCAATCATGTACAATGCTGAAGTGAAAACCCTTCCATTCCTAGTTCTATTTTGTGCTGACTGTGGGAACCGTTCTTAGTGTCTCAGTCTTAGAGAAAGTGTTTGGCTTTCTACCCTTTTCTGTTTTCCCACTGCCTCTTCCCAGCCTTAAAGGGCTGAACTCTTGTCTGCCTCGAACAGTCACCTCCCAGACTTGTGCTCTTTTTCCTTTGCAGTAACTTACATCTCTCTAGGGAAAGAGATGACCATGAGCATTTGTTCTGTGTTTTATACGTGGCTGGGGTCTGTATTCCTTGAAACCTCGAGGTCTCCTGAATTCCCCACTCTGTTGACAACTCTCTCATGTTCATATCCTGGAGAGTCCTGTGGGAATGGCCTCTGGAGAAGGGCACAGCTGAGATAAAGCACAGAGCTTCACTTCACTCACCTCTAGCTGGCCTCTATGTCTCTAGTATGTGTCATCCTAACACAAGCTGTAGAGACCTTTGCTAGTTTTAGCTCCCATAGAATCTGAAAGGCAGTGAGAGGGGAGGAGAAGAGAAAAAGCACCTGACATGGTGGCCCATCCCTGTAATCCCAGCACTTGGGAGGCTGAATCAAAAGGATTGCCATAAATTTGAGGCCAGAGCCTGGGCTACTTAGTGAGACCCTGTTTCCAAAAAGGAGAGAGAGAGAGAGAAAGTGTTCAAGTACAGACTGAGATTTTGGTGTCACTCAGCTTGGGTTTGTAATATAGAGTTAGAAAAATGTCATTTTGTGGGGTCTTTTTGCCTTCTCAGGGTCCCATGTCATCCAGAAGCTTATGTGTCCACTACACCTGCTAGGTCAGAGGTTTTCAGCCACTGGTGATTCCATACTTGAGAAACCATGTGGATGTAACATAACACCTCATTTGCTTTTTCTACAGTTATGGGAAAGCAGGCTTTTCAAGTTATGTCTGTGATATAAACACACTGAAAGCATTCTGTTTCTTGCTGCCTTAGAAACAGATTAGAGAAAATGCCACTCATGCTCAGGAGCATGCTTGCTAGTGCATAGAATGTGTATCAATTTAAAATCTGATACACACTGTTGTACCAAGAGAGCCAGTAAATCACCAAACACTGGGACAAATGACAAAGTTAAAACTGAAAGGAGTTTATTCATGCACATGGACTCCACTCCCTAAGCCCTGAGTCCAGGAACAGCACAGTTTATATAGGGTGTTATAGGAGCATAGCCTTTATAGGTGTTATTTTAAGAAGAGAAGTTCAAGGGGAGGTTAACATGTTTTTGACTAGTTGCAAAAGTATTTTTCACAACTCAGGTATCTTGCTGTCTTGTCAGGTTAGGGCAATTTACAGTAAAGGGAGGCACCAGGCACTATCTCTTTCCAAGAAGGGATGAAGCAAGTTTACAGAAGCAGAACAAGAAGTTACAAAAACATCTACTTTATAAGGGGAGGGGCATGAGGGGAGTTCATCCACAGGCCAAGATGGCTTTTCTTGGGTTTATCCTGGTCTCACACACCATCCACACTACCACCAGGGGGCAATAATTCCTCTTTTTCTTCCCTGCAAACTTGATGTTTTCAAATTTGATGAATTTTACTGATTTGAATTGATATTCCTTTCCATTTTTCCTGTCTTTTATGCCTTTTTTCCCCTTTCCTCTGTAAACTCTTCTGTAATTTATTTGCTTATGTGTTCATATTTGTGTTCAGATAGTTCTCTAATAATCTATTTTCAGGTTTTTATCACTTGTAGAGAATGAAAATACTTTGTATAACTTATTTTATCAAGGATATTCTCTGCTGAGCAAAAGTTCTGTTACTTTTTGTATCTTTTTACAGTCACCTTAACATTTGTGTCTCTACAAATTTATATCTGAAGATTTTTCCACTCTTATCAGATGAGAAAGTGATTTTCTTAAGCCTTCTTCCATGTTTTACAGTTTCTTATTT